TGGTTGGATCTGGAAAAAGGACAGTCCAGGTGATGGCTGTCACTAGGTCCAGAGGAAGGATTGGATCCAACCCCCAAATTCTCGAGGAAATATTTGTGAAGAGAGTCCGCATCGAGCGGATCCTTAAAGCACAGAACGAGGAAGCGTGGATCCTAGGACTAAAGAAGTATCTGATGGGGGATGTACGAGACCTGAGTCGGGAAGATGCCAAATCCTACAGCATTATTGTTGCAGGTAATCCAATACGATCCCGCGATGATTACGGTAGGATGTTTACGCCACCGATGATTAGACGAGTAGGATGATTGGACGAGTACAGAGGGTTGGTGATTGGATGCACCAAATGATTGGATGCAAACTAGGTAGAGAAGACAGTATAAGTTCTTATCAATCAATCACTTCTGAATTTTAATTCTGCCCCTCAAGTGACTTCCCTCGCCTCGGCCTCCTCGCCCCAAGCTTCGGCAGTCCTCCCCTCGCAAGACACAAGATCCAACCATCACCTTCTTCAATTATCGCTACGGATTACGCAGTGCATCTGAATGACTTGCTCTTCTATTGCCCCCCTACGAAGAGAGTCAACGAGGATCGGGATGGATTGATGAGACTGGTGATGCCGGAAACCTTACAACAGGATGTCCTACACCACTATCACGCTAGCTTGGAAGGCGGACATCAGGGTATTGGTCGGACCTACCAACGGATCCGGGAATGTTTTCACTGGAGGGGACTATTCAAGAGCGTACAACGGTATGTCGGGGAATGTGTGGATTGTGAGACAGGCAAGGGCAGGCCCACAATCGAAGGGGAGTCACCTGGGAATGTCCAAGCGACTTACCTTTTCCAAATCATAGCCATGGATCATATCCCCTCGTTGCCCAAGTCGTTCAAAGAAAACACAGAATTGTTGATTTGGGTGGACCTGTTTACCGGATACGTGGTAGCCAAAGCTAGTGCGTCTAGAACTGCGCAGACCATTGCTGAATCGTACGAGGAGTGCGTTTTCCGAAGATTTGGAGCTAGCGAAATGATTAGACATGATCGGGAGCCAGGCTTTATGTCTGATTTCTTTCGAGCTTTCAACCGGATCCTGGGGCAGAGACAGCGGGCAACCATGGTATATCGCCCCCAAGCTAACGGATCGGCCGAGCGCATGGTACAGACGATCACGAGAGCACTCAAGATGTATGTCCAGGATTTGGATCAGAGGGATTGGGATGAGTACGCAGAACGGCTCCCCTTCGCGATGAACACCGCCCAAGACAGGATCCGGGGTGATACCCCATTTTACTTGGTACATGGGTGGGATCCCAAATCCACCCTAGAAGCGGCCATTCCAGTATGCAGCACCAAGAAGAGAAACCGAGATCCAAGGCGATGGCGATACCAAGTCCAGAAATTCTACCGGCAAGCTAGATCCCAGGTGAACGAACGTC